CTCCCCTGCCTCCCCCGTATTGTATGTTTGCATAGAGGACTGCCCCTGGAGTAGAGTCCTCCTCCATGTATTGGAACCCCCAGTCTGTGTCATAGGGGGTTGTGATGCTGCGGTTTTTCCAGGAGCAGCTGCCGGAGGGGGCCTGCTGAGTGGCACTGCTGGCTTCGTCCTCCGGCGCACTGCTGCTGCTGTCTCCCTCCCCCGTCGTGGTGGTCCTGGTGATCGGGGGGCGCACACAGGTGTCGGCTGTGACATCCGGGGCTTGTGGAGCTGGCTGTCCCAGGATGGTGTGGATGGTCATAGTGGGGGCAGGTGTCTGGTCCTGCTCCCCGGCCCTCGCTGGCCTGCACATAGCCCAGGCGAAGTTCTTTGACTTTAGCCCGGACCTGTTCCAGGTTCCAGGCTGGATGGCCCTGCTGGGCTAGCGCCTGGACTATGCGGCCAAAGATGTCGGCGTTGCGGCGCCGGGACCGGGTGTCGTGGAGGCTCTCTTCCTCCTCCCACAGGTCCAGGAGGGTCTCCAGCTCCTCCAAGGACCACGATGGGGCTCTTCTTTTGCAGCCCCTGGGGGCCTCCTTCTCTGGGGGTGCGGGTGGCTGAGTGCCCGGAGCTGCCATGCTGGGCTGTGAGGTGGCTGCTGGGCACGGCAGGGGGAGGGCTGGCAGGCCTCAGGCCAGAGGTCTGAGGCAAGCAGCCTGCGGCTACTTTAAGAGCTCAGGTTACCAGGAAGTCCAGGGCGTCTACGGGGTCTCGCAGCGTCCAAACAGCTTTTTTCCGTTTAGCCTGCTTTTGCGCAAACGTCTTAGCTAGCTGTCTACACTTGCCCTTTTGCACAACAGTTTTTCGCAAAAAGGACATTTGCCCGAACGGGGAGCGTCAAAGCTTTTCCGGAAGAAGCACTGATTTCGGACAGTAGATTGTCAGTGCTTTTGCAGAAAATCAAGCGACCAGTGTAGAGAGCTGGCAAGTTTTTCTGGAAAAGCTCCTGATTTTCCGGAAAAACTGGCCAGTCTAGACACAGCCGGAGAGGAGCAGGGCTCCGCAAAGGAAGGTGGAGGGATCCTGGAAAAGGGCGGACTCAAATGGGGGGCTATGAGGAGAGGGAAACGATGGAGGGGAGGGCCTGTTGGGGTAGATGAGCTGTCCAGCCTCACACAGTGTTCAGCAAAGTGGAGGGGCAGGGGTGTTGCCTGCTCAGTTGCATCACAAACACCCCCTGAAAAAGTCTCTCAAGGTTTCATTAAAGATCCAGAAAAGAAGGAAACACTATCACAGGCTTTGGAAAGCATCCAAACAGTAAATACGGCTTTTGTTTTAATGGCTCCCCGTGGGCCCTTTTCCTTTAGCTATAGAGGCAGGAACCCACCCACCCCTGCCTTTCACAGTCTTTTAGGCTGCATTTTAAAGATGGAAATAT